TAGTCGACTCGGGATCAGGACGCGCAAGTAGTAAGCGCGCCACTTCTCAATCCACCACCTCCGCCTCGCTGATACTACCGACAAATGCCGGTTAGACCGACAATGCGGCAATGGTTGCAGTGCTTCCCGCGAGATCTTGGCCTATGGGTGAGATACCCGCGCTAAAAGGACTCCGAAAGCGTTTTTTCCTATCTGTAGGGAGATATAAGCCGATTAACCAGATTGAGTTCATGACAGTAACTGGCGACTAGCTGCATTTTGAGTCATCAGGTTCTAAAAGGTTAAAGTGATAAACTAAAAGCTAGAGAACAAGGAGATGTGGTTTGTCCCGACTCTAAAAGAGACACCCTTTATGGCTTAAGAAAATAGGCATAAAATTAAATGCCAAGCACTGGGAAAGATCGGACCTGCATGTTACTATTATTTGTTGCATACTTTTCTAATTTTCACTACTTCCCAGTTAATCTGTCGGCCATAAGCGCGTTCTTCGAACAATTACTGTTCCAGTCGCATTTCAACCCGTATTTGAATCAAATGCGTAAATAGTATAGAAAAGTGCACAGTATAGAAAGAGGATAAAAACAAACACTCACAGCAACTTCACCTTCCTTTGACATCAAATAGTTCCCCATATCTTCTATGGCTAATCGGGCGCATTCTCTGAAACAGCTCTCAGAAAAGTATTCACGAAAAATTTGCAAAGCGATGCAACAAAATCGTTTTTTGTTTGAACATCACGTTGAACGTGTGAGTGCTCGAAGGCAATGGCACAAATAGCCATTGAGCTGAGAGGTCAAAAGTGGCCCCGGTAGCGTAATAGGGAACGCAACTGCCGGTAAGCAGAAGATGCGGGTTCGAATCCCGTCCGTGGTCCGACTTTTGCCCACAACTCAGCATTCTTGTGTTAGCTTAGCTTCATGTTCAAAGGCAAAAGGAAAAAGCAGCTTCAAATTCCGCGATAAGTGAGTGGGTCGGCGGACAAATGGGCGGAGGCTCGTATTGATTTCGTCGTCTTCATTGGCTTGCCCTTTTTCAGGTGCGATAAGGAGAGGGGTGTCCTGTTTAAGAAGGCGGAACCGCTGCGAGTCTCCGCCCATACTTTTTATGGGATTTCCGAGAAAGACAGCAGGAAAGCAAAAAACGAAAATGAAAAGAAGCGACAAAAAAAATCAAGCGCTGGTCATCATGTTCCTGCTATTGGTCGGAATCTATGTATTACAATTTAACAACAACTACTACTCACTCTCTTATCTGGGTTCCTTTTTGATTGTAAGGGCTGAAAAACTCGAAATCGCCTTCTTTCATCAAGTCGCAAGCCTTCCGCCGGTACTCACCAACATTGAACGCTGAAATATGATAAAAATCAACGAAGAAATGTCTTTCAGATTGACATCACAGTCGTTGGTTAGACTCTTGGATCTCTTGGATCCAGTCAAACATCAGGCTCATAGAGGCTTTACAAAAGGTGCGGTCCAGTAAATACGATTCGCAGTGGCGCACAAAATCTGCAGTAATTAGAGTCAGCTTTTTGAAAAATCCCGGGTGCACTGACTCCGACAACTTGATGCTCACCTAGTCTTTTGAAATTTAGAACCCCTTTTTTAATTGATGCACTATAGCCAGCGTAAGGCTCGTAATGTGACGGTGATCTCGTTGACTGAAAGTGGACGAAGGGTGAGCAGAACTGGACCAACCTTTCGTCTTGATCCCTATCCAGTTCAAGTACCGACAGAGTTTGTGCGAGATATACGTTTTTCCTCGAGCCGGCAGTCCAACCAAAGCTATCACGTTTGGCACTCGCACCTGCCTACTTGGCCCATCTGAAACAGAGCGTATAAGAATAGCTTAACTGAAGTAATTGACTTTTGAAAAACATTCTTTAAAACATGTTCCGATAGGGTGATCGTGAGTAGTGAGAGTGGTCTACAAAATACAAGATGAACTCTGATGATGAACGAGCAAGATATGCATTCGGGGAGGGGGGGGGTGATTATCTTGAGAACTTTTGTCCATTTATTGTTGCCCCCTTTTTTCCCAAAATTCAGAACGTGTCCATTATGAACATTCACAAGTGATCTCACTCGCCGGGGCAAAAAGTGAACTTTCATTTTTGAGTTCTAGAGAATTAGTCTCTCAAGACTGATAAAGCTTTTTTCCACGCTACATTCAGGCCCTCTTGTTCTTGGAAATGGCTGTAGTGGAAAAATGTATACCTCCTCTACCGTTCATAGGACTCCTTAAAATGGCTCAGCACTCTAGAATGAATCAAGTTAGAGGACTGGGCACAATTTTTGGGGGCGGGGTTGCTACCAATGACAAAAGGCCGCGAGAGGGCGTTCAGCCACACACACTCCGCTCTTCCACCAATCACGTCAGCTGCAACCGCCCACCCACTCATCGCAAACCACTGCCTTTATGCGCTTGTGTTTGGACAAAAGGTTCACTTTCAATGTGCTGTATTTCTTTCTAAACGGATCTGCAAAATGGAAACTAAACTGCCCCGTTCAACCTCCTCCCCAAATCTATAATATGAAGACTACACAAAACTCTTCGTTATGAGCACAATATTGGAATTATTATGGAGAATCAATTGAATTCACATCATATGAACACACGAAATTAAAGAAGGAAGGGATGCAAAATTTTGTCATCATGGGGATTTGAACTACAAACCTGTTGTTTATACTTTCTTTGGTGTTTCCGGTATACCGGCTCCAGGACTTGAAAGCTCACCTCCCTTGAAACCCGGATTCACACTCTGCCGCTCTCATATTTTCGTTAGAGAGCAGACCCATCGTTCGGGATTTTTGACGTATTCTCTGAGTTTCGATAACATCTGGTACTTCTTAAACTCAAAAATTCCCATAAAAGCGTCAATAATGCACGCGTGACATGCTCGCGTTATCTTGAATAGCAGACGTTCGAAGTTTTTATGAAATCGAAACCCATGAGATTCGAGAATTTGGGACATCGAGGTGATTACGATTCTCAGTTCTTATCTTCTCACTTCAAAGAAACTACAAAGAGAAAAAAGCACTCAGCAAAGGATCAAAAACCGTGAAGTATTCCAGAAAGTATATATGTACGGGCGAGAAATTGAAACTGCCGATGCTGAAAAGCCAATCTGCTCACTGGAATGGGTCGTGGAACAGCTTGGTTTAGGAGTTTGTGGAGACGGTAAACCTAGCTGGGCCAGCCTTATTAGCTAGGTGGTCTTCAGTACGGAGAGCCAGATGGGTGATTCGAATGGAGCCAAAAGGACAAACCTCTGTTCACGTACCTGGTGGTGTAACTTCGAAGTATGTCATTTTTCGTTGCGGTACTCCTGCCTTAGCAGCCATTTTCTGCAAAAAAACAGAATGAGGTCCAAACGTTTGGCGTCATCTCCATCTACCATTGAGAGCGGAAGTAGCGCTCGTAGCGACGCGCATCTTGAAAACACACTTAGAATAGAGAGCCTAAAAGTAGGATTCCGGGGCGTCCATGTGGAACAAGATGGTCAACCACTGAGCCCACAGTTGTGCCCTCTCCTCACTTATATTTGTTTAGTGGAGAAGTGAAGCAACAAAGGAGACCTTATAGTGTTCCATGCCCACCCAATCACATAAACAGGGTGAACTGTGCTTTTGGAATGGCCACTAATCTTACTAACTCTACTTCTGATTGTAAGGACAAATATGTCATTTCAGCGTGAGGAATTTATCTGCCACGAAAAAACGTTAGAATTACGCGAAAAAAAACGAGAATAAAGGCCGGCAGCACTACTACTCATTGTTTCGTCATTGATCGAACTCGCCGCATTCTGCGAAAAGCCTTTCATGCTCACATTCGACGGCTTAATGGCGGTGTGAGGAATGAAACGAAATGAATTTAGCAGCTTGCTACTCACTGTGGACAACGTATTCCTTATCCAGTACGATTTAGCTGATGTTGTTAGTGGAAAGGGGTCCACTTACTGGCCCCCACTGTCTATGGGTTCGAACTGTGTTGAGCCCCCGCAGCCGCTTCGGCCATCCGATCCCTTTCGTCGGCTTGTGGGGTCGATCGAGCTGTATCTAGGGAGAAAAAAGTGCTTGTACAGCCACAGGCCCCTCTAGGTAACAATGCGGTGACATGCCAAATCCATGTGTAAGATTCCGGGCAGGAGTTCTTTTTTAAGAGTTGATTTTTTAGTCACACGGAAAGTAGAATGTGTGCGGATGGTCGAAAAGAAAACCGGATCAACCTTGGATGCTTCCCTCCAAAGTTTGTTCGCTTTGAAACGTTCAGCACCTCATGAACGTGGCACACTTTTTGAGAAATGGAGGACTGAAGCTTTACCTTCTGGAATGCGGCATGCGTGCTTTTTTCTATTCTGATAGGTGGCTTCTGAATGGCATTGCTTATTCTATGTTGCAGTGACTTTAGCGCGGCAACCCAGAAATGTGTATTAACGACTCTGGGATCGATTCAGTGTCCCCGATGGAGTGAAAAGCTTGGTTGCCCTTGCGGGAGTCCCTTCGGGGTTTGGCTCCCTAGACTGCTCGCGTGGCAATGGACGCCGTATTTGGAACTACACTACCTCCGCAGATGCGTTTTCAGAGAACATACTCATTTGTGAAACAAGACCGTATCACGTAAATAGCAAAATTTATGGAAGCAGAATCAAACAATCTGTTGAAACTTATTGTTCATGGAAACGATTCCCTGCAGGGTTTGACCTCTCACCTGATGGGCACCTCGGAAATGGTTACCGAACTTCTAAGCGCTGAGTTGACAAGAAGTTCCTTCTCGCACTATATAGCGCATCAAACCATAAAGATCGCAGGAAGCGCATGAGCATTGCTGCAAGAGGCAAAGGACGACCCACTCAGGAACATAAAAGCAATTTAGCTATTAGTATTTTGATGAGAATGAAGCAAGAATACCAGAATTTGACATGCGCATTTTAAATTCTTGGCTTGACTCCCACCATGTCTTGAAACCGACCTTTGAGAAAACTCCTCCTAGCAAGACTAAGGCGCTTGTCAAGGATCTGAACAGGAATTCCATTAGGTTAACAAAGTACAATTTCGACAATATCTAGCATGGCCTGAAATGTCAAACCAAATGAGCGTAATAGGAAATGCAGTTCCTAGTATTAGATAGCATGATATATGGTGACAACTACAAGCAGGCGTGATGATGGGTTTTCACGCCAAACGGTAGCAAAATCGGAACCAGCAAAGTTGTCGGCAAGCAAAAGAGCAGTATGGCTTTTCGAAGTACAGGCCAGATATTCGGTCGACATTTTCTGCCTGGCGGTTGAACTGACGGCGAGCTGGCCATTAAGGGCGGGCTGCTATGGGCTTGACGAAGGGATGGACATTTCGCACTCTCCTAGGCTTTCGTTTTGCTTAGTTCTTTTTGAATGTTTGTCACAAAAATGCTGAGTTATGAGGCACATAGTCGAACACCCGGGCCGGGAGGTCGAACCTCGCACGCTAGCACGCTTCCGGGAGCAGTGCGCGCAGCATGCAGAGTGCTTTGCGGGTTGCGTAATGGATAGCGCACTAGCCCGGAAAGCGTGAGTTGCAAGTTTGACTCCCCTGGGTTTCGGCTTTTGCTAGTAACTCAGCATTCTTGTGATAACATTCGGATTCGAAGTGCGGTGTTCAACAGTAGTTACCATGAAAAACAACACTTTCTTTGGAATTACCTCACATCAGCTTAGCGAGAACTGTAGACTCCTTGTAAAGTGAAAACTAAGCCTAGACTACTGCAGAGCTCACGGTCCCCTCAGGAATACCGCACTAAGGAGTTCACAGATCTCGTCAGGAGGTATCGGCAGTAGTTGGTGGGAACCAGCGAAATGCCTCCACCAAGCCGAACTGCATGAAACGGTGTTCTGGAGGGGGGAGGGAGGTTTGATCTTTTGAACACGAATAATATTAACGCGCTCGGCGCGAAGACATCTGGCATCCGCTACAAGTGCTGGCGTGAAAAACAAGTGATTTCGCCGAGTTTGCTGCTTGACTTTAAGTGGGTAGTTTGATCCCTTCAACATGATAAATGCGCTCAAGGCGAAAACACCCTGCACTCGCACCACACCCGGCGCTTGTGACTCGCACCATCCACTCCTCAAGGATGTGATTTTCTTATTCGGGGTGTCCAGCTCCCCTGTGGAGAAAATGTTGTTCAGCTCTCCTGCCAGAAAAAAATTTCGCGCTGTTCGGCTAGGAAGGGGGGGAGGTCATTTTGCACTTTCGCTGTTTCCTCTGTCTTGTCAACCATCAAGTAGAGATTTGTGAAATTTTAAGAGGCTGCGAAGTGATAGCAGTCAAGCTATCACTTCGCAGCCTCTAGGCAGTAGAAACATGCCAACTCTTGTATAGCAATGAACACGACAATGGGCAGCAAAAGTGCAGAACGCCCACCCCCCCTCTCCCGGTCAAACTGCGCAGATAAATTCGATCAAAATCGCATTGGGCTTCACAGATGTAAGCAGAAATGGGGAGAAAAAGAGATGAAGGTCCCCCGTTTTCTCGAATCACAGGTTATAACTGGCGCTCGTTTGCGTCTAAGTCGCTGGCGAACCTTTCATTATTTATCAGTCCACAACACGGCAACCAGCTCAGTGATTGGATAAAGTGCCTCAGAAAAGGCAAGTTATCGTAGGTATCAAAGACGAGTAGTCACTGTAATAGAGTTGGGAAAAATATGAGTGAGGTAATGGACTCATCAGTACTTGGACATGCTATCGCACAGATTTGCTAAGTTTATGACGTTGGTGTCAAAAAACTCGGCACGCAAGAGCACGAATTGCGACATATTATGCCCAAAGGAGTTGACCAAAAAAGGATGGTGCAGTGGCAAGATGCGCCGCTTTCACTTACATTATAATTCGTGGATCGAGTTGAATCGGAGCCATCAAATGTTACTTGTGAGCGTTGTTCAGCAAAGGAAGCATACAGCTGACAATGGATAAAACAGTCAGCTTTGGCTTCTTGCTTTCTGAAGTGAGCCACGCATTTCACTTCGTTTAGGGATCCTTTCTGGCTTCTAAGCCTTCTGAGTGTCATCTGTGTCCAGATAGGCGCTGTCTTCCCCTCCCCACCTCCAGACAATAATGGACTTTTCTAGGTTTGAGAGGGAAATGAATCAGGACCGTTGATAAGCGACATCACTTGTCTCCACCCGACTATTGCCATATGTGGTTTCTAAACAGAGCAACTGAGAAATACTGCAGAAAACTGCACGGAAATCGTGCTAGTCCGATAAAACGAAACCAGTGCCAAAATCCGTGCCTCTTCAAACGAAAAAAAAACCTCTGAGAACTCGGCAGTTATTACTGCTTCATGGGCAGTGCTACCTGTTCTACTTGTCAGGGTGTCGGGAGGGAAGAGGGACTAAGCAGCCTTCTCAAATGCTGTAAAAGTACGAGCTCCAATCTCGAACCATTCAGTGCACAAATTGGTTCACCCATCCCAAAGGTTCTTGGTCCCCTTGCGCGAAAATCCCACCCCACCCAGGGCTCATATCCTTCATTCCGTTCCCATATTCCGTATCACGTAGATGGGAGGGCGTGGCTGCGCCCTTCATTTGAATAGGGCTTATAAGAGGGGTTTTCTTCTGAGACAACCGCCACTTTGTCGTCTTGTGCTGGACGAGACATGAATACAATAATCCCGAAAAGAAAATATCTCACCAGAGGCGCAGCAGCCGCCGCGTCCTTTTTGAGCACGCTGCCACACCCTCCCCGTCTTTGAGATACGGAGTGTATCTTCTTGTTGTGAATACCGTCAAGCACAACAAAGACAAGTAAGTGGAGTGGAAATGATGCGCGCACGATATCGGACATTTTAAAAAGTTTAGCTACACATTCTCCACCTCTCCCACCACCCCTTCCCCCATGAAATGAGTCTCAGTCTGTCAGCTTTACGCAGTCCAATCAACGGTCCTTTGACCGCCTCGCTAAGAAATCTTATGCATCTCCAAGAAACGGCCTCTGACAGGTGGGAATGAAAGGGATGACGAGCTCCATGTTGTTCCGTGTTGTTCTCAAGGGCATTAAAAGGTCATGGAACACATGATCGTTATCAGAAGTGGTGTCATCTCGATGATCAACGCAAAACAACTGATAATAACGACAGACAGTCGCTCAAAGATGAAACGTGACAAAATGTAAGACATGCAAAATGTAGTTGTAGTTGTAGTCTATGAGAGTATTGTGAAGTCATAGAGAATAAGAAAGAAATCAGGAAGGAGAGAAGAAGAAAATCTATGAAAGAAATCTGCCGATAGATATCACAAGAATGCTGAGTTATGGGCAAAAGTCGTGCCCCAGGCGGGAGTCGAACCCGCACCTCACGCTTTCCGGGCG